TGTGTTTGTGTTTATGTGTCGATGTTTTGTCCACCGATTTGGGGATCAGCTTCAGCTTGACTCCAGCGCACGGCTTGTTGTCCTTAAAGTGTCTCTTCTTGTAGTGGTGTCTGAAGTCAGCCATAGAGTGGTATCTCTTCTCGCAATGGAAGCAAACGATCCGCACTTCCATGGCTTCCGGCGACGTCTCATTCAAGAGCACAGACTTTTGGTCAGACATACCCGTCCTCTTGTCCACCAATTTGTAATCAATTTGTCTTTTTCGATATCTCGTGTCTATTTTGACACTCTTGTGACCAGTGTTTGACTCACAATCAGACCTCTGCTCACGAGTCGTGTCTCTCACTTGACCGCCACTCATGTCACTGTCATTATCACTTGGTTTCATCATTTCGGGATCACTTGTCACGCTATCGTTGGGCTCAACGTCTTTGTCAGTGACGGACACAACAGGTTCACTGTATTCCTCGTCAGCGTCAGTGTCAGTGTCATAGTCTGTGAGCGCATCCAAGTCTATGGCAATGAGTCGTCGACCCGATGTCCGCATATCGACTCTGATCTGGAGATTAGATAAAAACAAGACATTCAGTAAACAAGTGATAAACGGATCAAATGATTACTCAATCATTGGTGACATTCACAGCACATGAGAGTCACTGAAATGCAGTCAAACACTAATCCATTGAACCCTTCATTCATTCAACAATTGATGAAAAATTAGGTTTTTTTAGTTTTGTTTTCGTCAACAGTTAAGGTGTGCTATAACTTGAGGGAAGGTTTCTAACCATTTCATACACTATACAAACCATGTGAATGCATAACCGTTAGCACAAAAGGGTCTAAACTGGTATTGCATTTAACACATACGCACTGAAAGTATTTCGTCAATTTATATCATAATTTGAATGAATGAATGCTTTTCATGGTTTGCACTATATTTTAGGCATAGATTTGACGCAACGATAATACCTTTTCACCGCTACTTTCTATCAATAATCCACTTAACAGTAAATCATTAATCCTTTCATTAGTTAATGCGAATTATAAGAGATTTAAACATATAGCTTAAATTTTGGTAATACTTACGATTAAAACAAATGAATTGGTAAAAAAAAGTTTGCAAACAAAGCACATAATATGCAAAGTGCGTTAAAATGAAAATTGGTAAAACATTGAAAAAAGTTTGTAAACTCCGATAATAAGCATGAATTGCTTATGAGGCTATTTTACTGTCAAATAAGTCTAACTTACAATTATGTTACATTATTTATATTAATTTTATGAACAGTTGGTGATATATTTAAGAGATAACATGACTTTATGCATAAATGAGTGGTGACTATGAAGTGGATGGCGTGGAGTCCACCCAAGTGGTTGTGTAACACAATCCGTAACCCAAGTCTTTATACTTTGTAATTGGGACGGATGACAGGGACGGCTGTATGTCTGGTCCAATGCACACAAATATATATATAAACATAGTTTGTCAGCCAATTATAATGAAACAATTAGCGGAGTTTTCCCTTTTTAGTGTTATTAAGTGAACACTATAATACTGTACCCTGTACCCTAGTCTACTGTTCCCATATACAGAATAACAGAATATAGTGTAACTGAATAAGTGTTGCATTGAAGCCCTAATTGAAAGAGGAATTTATTACTTAAAAGATATGAATATTGGTTTCAGTTTTGTTTATTATATCCGAATCGACAACTTATCCATAAAAATATTCTGAGAATTAAGTTTCGCACAAGTATTGAATATTTGATAGCATTTTGCTAATGAATAGCACAGTTTTATTTCAATACAATCTTGGCATGAATAATTATTTTAGCAACTTATTGTAAGGTCCCGGTTTAACATCCATGGGATTAGGACCTCACCGGCGATATGACTGAATTTAACTTTTATCAATAGTCTCCAATTTGATATACTTTTTATATCTGTAGTATCAAAATCAATACCTGTACAGAAGCGGTCAATTAACAATAACAATAATATTATGTGACTCTAAATATAATATATTATGACCTATGATATATAATATATTATATATATTATGATATATTATGTCATATTATGACCGCTTCTGTATAAACTATTAATTCATGACAAGACCTACATTATGACATAGAATCTATGTCATAGATTACTGTATTAGCTTATTTGATAAGTTAGTGATAAGTGACCATAATTATCAGTGATAAATCATATTAACATAAAATCAATAATTTCACTTATATTCTACCTGTTTCTTAAGTATAATTCTTATAATTTTATTTACTTAATCAATAGCTAAAAAGCCATAGTCAATGAAAAGTAATAAACAAATTCTTTTAAAAAAGCAAATACTATACAAATGCATTGAATTTAACATAATATGAAAAGCTTCGATAACTAACTAACAATTTAACAAATAGTAAACAAATTCATTATAACTAACATAAAAATCAAAGTAATATAAAAATAAGTTAAAAACAGAGCGTTAAAAATTCAATAAATATTGAAAACAATAGTCAATTAAAGTCAAGAATAATAGTAACATGTATGGAGTGGACAGTTATGTGGGAGGGAGTGGTGGTTTCATAGCTTTCTTCAACTGCTTGATCTTCCACTTCTCGTCCTTCAGTCTCCACTTCATCCTCAGAGCGATTATTTGAGTCATTTGCGGGTCTTTAGTCAAAAGGGCAATGTCTTCGGGGTGGGTGCGGCCCAACAGCATATCCCTCACATGACTGAACCAATTCTTGCGGTCAAGAATGAATCGTTTGACCGCAAGAATCTGTTGTCTGTACTGTTTCGCGTCATTCATGAGGACCTTGAAGATCATGCCCTCAATGCGTTGGGCGATGGCCTGCGTGTTGACAGAACCGAGCGGTTTCTCATACCTGTCCAGCGCGAGCATCAGTTTCATGCGCTGCGTCTGTCGTACGGCGTGTCTCAGGTTTAAATGACTTCCAGCGCTGTCTATCTTGCCGGACGGCCTACCGTTCCCTATGATGTCGAAGTCTTTGGGCGCTATTGTCCTGGTGTACAGACTCTTCGCTTTCACCACTCGTTGCGGTGGTTTGGGTGCAATGGCCTTCAAATCGATTCTGGTTGTGCCGGCTGTCGGCACCTCCACTATTGGCGGGCATATCTCGACACTCAGTTTGTGGCTCAGATGCGACTCGTTTACGATTCGGGTTTTATTGAGTTTCCATTGCTTTTGACGCTTTTCGTCCAACTCTTCCATTAGTTTCATTCGTCGCGAAGTCATTGTAAATGAATTCAATTAAAAGTTATAACAAAATT